GACGGAGAACTGATAGGAATATCCTAAGTGCAGTGATGCTAGCTATTGGCTCAACTCAACTTCGAGTGCCGTAATGATAACCAAATTCATAACACATAACACAACATAACTGTTCCTGCAGGATGCAAATGACATGACCTTGTTCTCTAACGGGTCACATGTTGACGATATGTTTGATGGTGACCATGGGCTGAAGACTTTCATGGAGTGGTGTTGGAGACAACCAGATTTGCCCCGCAGTGACCACTACATGCTGTTTACTGGGTGAGTTGTGTGTGAGGCCATTTATTCCCGGGTGAATTATGTGTGGGGACATCTGATCCCGATCGAGTTAAATGTGAGTAAATTTATTTACGGGTGAGTTATATGTTAGGATATTTAATCCCGGGTGTGTTATGTGATAAGGTATTTGCTATGAAAATGCACTATTTCTATACTGGGTCAGTTGTGTGGTGTGGTATTTCTAACTCCCATGAGCTATGTGATGAGACATATCATTCCCGGGTGACGTTATGTGTAGGGATATTTAATCACGGGTTAGCTGCATCATAAGGTATTTCTATACCTCTTGAGTAATGTAATGTATACTTCTGTACTGGGTGAGTTATGCGGTTTATTATACCTTAAACGGCTGGGTGTTTTATGTGGTTTCATTTTTCTATATTGGGTGTTTTATGTGGCTTAATATTTCTATAACGGATGTTTTATGTTGTGTAATATTTCTATAACGGGTGTTTTATGTGGCTTAATATTTTTATAACGGGTGTTTTATGTTGTGTAATATTTCTTTAACGGGTCTTTTATGTTGTTTAATATTTCTATAACGGGTCTTTTATGCTGTCTAATATTTTTGTAACGGGTGTTTTATGTTGTTTAATATTTCTATAACGGGTCTTTTATGTTGTTTAATATTTTTGTAACGGGTGTTTTATGTTGTCTAATATTTTTGTAACAGGTGTTTTATGTTGTCTAATATTTTTGTAACGGGTGTTTTATGTTGTCTAATATTTTTGTAACGGGTGTTTTATATTGTCTAATATTTTTGTAACGGGTGTTTTATGTTGTTTAATATTTCCTCCTCGTGGTGGAGGACAGAAACACACCTCGGTGTGACTAACGCAGTCTTGGGAACCGAATATCCGCAGGAATAAGCGAACCATCCTGTGATGTTATCTGCTGTTAGAAATAAAATCGTAGAGTAGAGTATTCCTTTACCCAGGCAGTCTAAAAGATTGCTGAAGGTTGAGATGCTCAGCCGTGTGGATGTGGAAAGCAAGGGGAGACTACCACATTATAAATCCCTAGAAATTCAACATGGAAGCTGAAAAAGTATCTCACAAATCTGATGGTAAAAACCCCAGGCCAGGGAGGTCACCTACGCGAATCGGGGAAGAGAACAACGGCAGAACTAACTAGTACAAGCAGAGGAGATGACCGCGGAAATTCTACTGAATGCGCTGCAGTAGAAGGCTCTGTCTTTGGACTAAAATATAAAACGAAGATAGGAACATGGAACGTAAGGAGTTACCATCCATAATAAAATTTTTAAAATATCTTTAAAATATCTATATGTAACAGCCAGCAGAGGAGGGTAGAGGACAAACAGACATAATAATCTAATTTACTATGATACTGATAGTCACCCATGGATGTATTTTCATGCATCATCTCGTTATCATCATCATCTGACTGACTGACTGACTTTCTACCTTACTAGGACATCACACAAGCGATAAACACCCGATGACACAAAGTACCACCATGCGGATGAGGATCACAGTGGAGAGGTCCAAGAAACCGCGTTCAGACAATTGGCCATATTGATGGCCTGCCTATATTGCGGCCCCTGGCAAAAGCCACAGTGGGACTTCAAATAAGAAAAAATTACGTCCTGAAAAAGAAGCCATCATCATCATCATTATGTTTGCCATTTATAAGTCACTCGAGGCTCGCAGTCTAATCTTTCATTTGCTGACTTTTGTCATTTTTGTTTCGATATCTTTGATAACACTAGTCCAGCAGCTTTGTCGTCAATATTCACTACATAACTTTCTTCCACCTCCTGCCTTCTTCCGTTCATGTGTGCCCCTTTCAATAACTGCTCACATTTGTTCATTATCTGCTCAATAAAAAAACCGTGCGAATGAATTTAACAGATTGTGTATTTTTGCTTTTATCTGTGTTAGTGTATATTCATATAATGTGTTGATAAAGGCTCTCAAGCCGATACGTTTACTATAGTTTGTATTTGGGATCATGCGAGGCTGACTGCTATTACTTTGCGTTTGGTTTGATTATCTGTTCGTGATATTTAACAGATTGAAACTGATAGCAAATGAACTAGGGGATCTAGATGGCTACGCAGAAGTTGGTGCTCTGTGCTCAGCGCGTGCCGTGTCTATTGTCCGGAATGATTTCAGCGAAAACACCGGACACACTGCTGCCCATGAACTGGGTCACAGGTAAGGGCCAGTTGTGATTTTGTCAGAAAACTCAAACACACAAGAAACATGTATTCATAACAAATACAATAACAAAACAAATACAAATATAAGGCAAACAAACATAAAAAACACACGCATATAAAAAAGACAAAAATTAGGCAAACATTAGAACACATAATTTTGTTTTTAAAGCAGACAAATGTGAAGCATAAATCTATATTAACAAAAATGTTAATTTTCCGAGTTTGTTAACTCTAAACTCGGAAACTACTGAACCGATTGCTTTAAAATTTTTACACAACGTTGCCTTTGACTCAAGGCGTGAGTTTTTGTCACAAAAATGCACAAACCATGAACGACGTTGCTCCAGCAACGGTCAAATCATTATTTGTTTCGTTGCCGGCCCAGATTTGTTTTCAGTTGATTGGCCATTTTTCACAGCTGAGCTCTTATTGAGCTTTGCATTACTATATAATTTCATTTCCACTTTCTGCTTTAGTGTTTGGTTGAAACTATTCTGCCTATCATGCAAGTGACCCGCGTTCGATTCTCCGCTGGGCGATATAATTTTTTGTAGCCCTTAACTGGGCGGCTGGCACGTTGTGTTGTGGTTTCTGGCTAGGCTGCGATATCTACACCTTTTTTCTGTTTTAGGGTTTACACCTAGCCTGCGACAGCGTCGACGTGATGCCCAATGGTCATGTCACGGGTAATCTTCGTTCGCTTTCGAGAGGGCGGTTGGCACGTTGTGTTGTGGTTTACAGCTAGGCTGCGATATCTGACATAAACTCTTCAGTCTTCGGTAGTATAATTATAAGTATTCCATCCTTTAAGCAGGTGACCGGGTTTTGATTCTCCGCTGGGTGATAATTGCTCTTTTTTCCTCAAAAGGGTGGTTGCCACATTGTGTTGTGGGTTACAGCTAGGTTGCAATATCTGCGCCTTTCGCCCAAAGACATCCGATTTCACTTAAGTCCCAATTAGCCTCCCCGTGACGCTTCTAGATCAAAAACTATTCGGCGATGACAAAAACTGTTAAATAAGACGGCTTACAGTCCAGTTTAGTTTGGGTGGACACGGATGCCAAGGTCAGTTAAAAATCGTTCCTTCGGAGAGGAAGAGATGACGGGTGCGATGTATTTTTCTCAGCTATTCGTGAGTATTGTGTACTTTTTACTGTGGGTTCCATCACAGGTTACGTGATAAAGTTTTTTTTTTTTTTTTAATGTCGAGGGCAACATTAAACTAAATAGTCCGTGGCGACAGCATGCGGCGCTAACTCCTCTTTTCTACACCAACCTACACAGACTGTAGTGACAGTTGTTGTGATAGTGGTGTTGATAGTAGTTGCATTAGTACTGGTACTGCTGGATGGGTGATGAGGTAGCTGTTACACTGGCCACATTTACTTCTCAGTACAAGTTAATGCTATCCATTTAAGTCTGGGTGGACACGAATGCCAAGCTCAGTTTAGTTACAATATTTCGTCACATGGTGACTTTCCCACCCTTCAGAGAGAATGACATGATTGGAGAAGGGGGAAAGGGGGGGGGGGGGGGGTTATGCCAGACATAGCTGAGAGAGCTTAAAATATTATTTTAAAGTTCTTATTTCTTAAACTTTTCTATTTTAATAATTTCACCAGGTGATGATTTTTCAATCCTTCGGAGAGTGCGCGATATGATTGTTTGAAAGAGGGAAAAAAAAGGGGGGGGGGGGTGGTTGTGCCAGGGCATAGTTAGATGAGAGAGCTTAAAATATTATTTTAAAGTTCCCATTTCTTAACTATTTCAATAATTTTTTTTTATAATTTCACTATGAATGATTTTGCAATCCTTCGGAGAGGGAGACATGATTAGGGAAGCGGGGGGGGGGGGGGGGGGGGGGGAGTTATGCCAGACAAAGTTAGCTGAGAGAGCTTAAAATATTGTTTTATAGTTCTCATTTCTTAACTATTTGAATTTTAATAATTTTGCCAGGTGATGATTTTTCAATCCTTCGGAGAGGGAGATATGACTGGGTCGAGGGGAGAGGAGGGGATATGCCAGACACTGTTAGCTAAGAGCTATTTTCTTTCCTCTCCATTTCACCATTCTGGGCCACAGCAACGCGTGGCCGGGTATAGCTAGTACAATATATAAACCATACAAACTAAATCAGGCAAGCACATAAAGCAGACAAACATGAAGCGTATTTTAAAAAAAAAAAGTATTTGTATGCAGCAAAATAAAAATAAAAACATACAGAAAGAAAGAAAACTTTTCTTTTCTTCTTCTTCTTTTTCTTCTTCTTCTTTTTCTTTTTCTTTTTCTTCTTTTTCTTTTTCCTCTTCCTCTTCTTCTTTTCTCTCCCTCCTCCTGTTGTGCTGCTGTTTCTGGCTTGCAGGCAGATGTAATGTCTTCTTCTTGCTCCCTTGGCTGCCTCTTCCATAGACCCACGTTTAGACCTACAAATATTACCCAACTGCAGTACTGTTATTTCATTCTCAGCTTGTCCGCAGAACACGACGGTGACACGTATGACCAGGCCGGGTGTGCTGCCAACAACTTGTACATTATGACAACTGACAGCACGACTCCTGTGAGCCCCGGTAGATTAGGAAACAACTGGAAATTCTCTCCGTGTTCGATTGCCTTTTTCAAATCATTTCTCATCAAGTAAGTGAGCTAGTGAATGAAAGACTGAAATAATTAATTAATTACGGGACAAATATCACCGCACTTGGAATATTTCAATTCACAGCCTATTGTTTTTCCTTACTACAAAAGATGAATTTCCAGGCGCCATTTTCTTGGTTAATGTAAGTTACAGAAACTCACAGCTGACGACAAGGGGAGGACATCATCATCATCATCATCAAAATGTGCCCTGCCAATTTGCATAGTCGCTCATGCATCTCCACATATCACGACCCCAGGTTGCCTGGAACAGCTCTATTGATTTTATCCACTCCATGCCATCCTTTCAGCCCATTCAGCGTCATCTCTATTGGTCTGCCTCTATCCCTTTTTTCACTGATCTTTCCAGTTGTCAAGATGTTCTCCAAGGTCTCTCTTTTTATTACATGGCCAAAGAACCGTGTTTGTCTCTTTTTGTTGTATTTAGAGATCTTCTTTCATTAGCTTCTTTCAAACAATCGTTGTTAGTTACTCTGGCCGTCCAAGGTATTCGTAATATTCGTCTCAGAAACATACATTTAAAAAAAGAAATAAAGAGACTATGGAGGCGAGAACGAGAAGAATGTAGAGAGATAATGTCCAGACAGACTTGCAAACAATTTGTGTTACCAACTGGAAAGAGAAGGCTAACCAGAGAGATGAATGGAGGCGGGTGATATCTGCAGCAATGAACCTCAAGGGCTCGGAAGGCTGAAGAAGGAGAAGGTGGTGGCGAGTACCTCACAAGAATCCATAACAAGAACGCTGATGAGAGAGGCAAAAGCTGCTCGACTGGATTCTATCTATGATATTAAAGTAATTTCATAGGATGTAACGGAGTTAATGAATAGACTGCAAGCCCTGTGTGACATATAATAGTGTAACAATAATATATGAATAATTATATATATATATATATATATATATATATATATATATATATATATATATATGTGTGTGTGTGTGTGTGTGTGTCTGTGTGTGTGTGTGTGTGTGTGTGAGAGAGAGAGAGAGAGAGAGAGAGAGAGAGAGGCAGAGAGACAGAGAGAAAGTTCCATGTACATTCTTGTTCCTTTAGCATTACTTGCACACGACAAATCAACACAAAGAAACGAGAGCTCCCAGCACCCCCTCCCGGTCATCGTGCAGGCGAAGTCCTGAGCCGAGACGAACAGTGTCGACTGGCATTTCAAAATCCTAGCAGTTATTTCTGTGAGGTGAGATTCAGTATAAAAGTATCTTTTTCAGTACGAGAACATTTATAAATGTAATTTATGATTCCCTTTACGGATATTCATTTAGATACATATACGATTTTTACGTGTATGATTGACTTTAGAATAACTAGTTTCAAATTTAAATACGTTATTTACGTGATGTAAGATTCATTTTACAACTCACGTTAGAATCATTAGTTTCAAATCTAAATAAGTTATTTCTGGCAGATAAAATTTACTTTACAACCATCGTTGTAAATTTTTTTTGGGGGGTCAGGTAAAGTTGACTATAAACTTTTGTTTCAAATCTACGTAAGTTATTTCTGTGTGTTAAAGTTCGCTTTACAACCATCTGCGTCAAAACCTCTCTTATAAGTTGTATCAAATTTAATTTAAATAAAAGTTATTTCAAAGTTTCAGAATGTAACATAAATGGCATCATCATCCTTTGTGTGAGATTAGACGCCACATAGGGCTCGCATTCGATACCTCGACTCCGTTCTATTGAAAGAAACACTCTCCATTTCTGACATGGAGTTCAGCCCAGCAATATTGGCCTCTAGTAATAACGTTTTTTCAATCCTCCCAGACCTGCTGCGTAGAACTGCGTGCTCTGTTTTCTAAACCACATTTTTACTTCACATTTAACTTTTGCTTCATTCATGAAATATCTCCCGCCAAGGTGGGTATTCAGTAGACCAGAAACCATTTGAGCACCCTTTTTCAGCTGCTACACAATCAACCGTTAATCGCATGTCCCCTCTAATAATCTCATCCAACCGTTGTACAAATCTGTCTGTTGCAATCTTAACAGGACGACTATATCGGACTTCATCAACAATCGCAGAGCGTCCTTATGAAAAAAATTATATACCCAGCTTTGCACTGCTTTACGTGATAAACATTTGTCAGCATAAACAGGAAGTATTTCCTTATGAATGTCCTTTGCAAGCAGCCCTTTTGCACCCACTCCCCCCCCCCCTTTTTTTTGGGCCCCCAATCCCCCCCCCCCCCCCCCACAAAACATGCACAACAGCACCTTGTTCTTTGATAGAACACTCCGTCAGTACAATCGCCATTTTATTTCTGTGTTGCGCATGCAACCTAGTATTAATTAACGAACGGAGACATAAAGCTCGATAATGCTGTTACATAATGACACCATTAGAAAACACCAGATACATTTTCTTGCCGTCCCATAACCATTTATGACTTACTTATTGACTTCCCAACGTATTACAAATACGTCACTGAACATAGCCAAAATAACGCTCGCTGTATGCTTGCATCACGCATGATACGACTTACCTTTTGTGCAATGCTAGCTGCTCACGCATATTCTCAACAACCAATCAACGATTAGGAAAATATCACGTGATACCCTCTCTAGTTATATCCAATTTCGTCCTTTTTAGGACGAAATTTTTTGTCATTGGAAGCCCTACTCTCGCTTTTGCCAGGGGCCGCAATATAGGCAGGCCATATATATGGCCAAATGTCTGAACGCGGTTTCTGGGACCTCTCCACGGCGATCCTCATCCAAATGGTGGCACTTTGTGTCATCGGGTGTTTATCGCTTGTGTGATGTCCTGGTGGGGTAGAAATTCAGTTCAGCTTACACAGAGTTACTTACCTACTTACGTCCTTTTAAGGACGTAATTTTTTGTTATTTTAAGCCCCACTCTGGCTTTTGCCAGGGGCCGCAATATAGGCAGGCCTTAAATATGGCCAATTGTCTGAACGCGGTTTCTGGGACCTCTCCACGGTGATCCTCATCCACATGGTGGCACTTTGTGTCATCGGGTGTTTATCGCTTGTGTGATGTCCTAGTGGGGTAGAAAGTCAGTCAGTCAGCTTACACAGACAAATGAACTAGTCCTCGCCAGTGTTCAGTACACTTCCGTAGAAGAAGCAGACGGAAAATCACCAAACAGGCACTGGAATAGGAAATAAACGGACTGAGAACATAAAGATGTATTTGATATTGAAAGGATTTCAAAGGGTAGAATGGAATGGAGAAATAGATTGCGAGCCTTTTATGAAGCATAAACAGCACAACAGGATGAATGAAGGTATACATGAATAAATGAATAATTTTCTGCTGACAGGATGACCAGGAGGATTCTGGCGGCATTGAGGAACTATGTAGAGGAATGCAATGCTTTGACCCTAAGTCGCTGGAGTGTGAATATACCATGGCACAAGAATATACCCCGTGTGGTATCAATAAGGTAGGCATTCACATAAATATGTTTGAATGTATTGAGCAGTTATTGGTAATGATGGCATAAATATTTGTTGGGAAGCTAGAAAAAGTGAAGATGTTATACAAATTGAATACTTTAAAAAAAATTTGGGGAATGAAGGGGTTACTTTTGGAGTATTGCACTAGAATGTTTTAGAAAACAAAGCAATTTTTGGACGGCTTAAACAACCGTTGGGTCATCAAATTCTAGAAAAGTTGGTAATAATGGAAAGACTGTTAGAAATGTTATTGCTGTATTACCAAAAACATTGGTACACTGTTGGGAATAAATGGGGGACTATTCGCTGATGTAAACATATTGTAGTTGAAATTATAAGCAGCGAAGAACTAAAATAAAAATAAATCTTTAGGAACTATTGAATTTTCACGAAAAAGAAACCTTTCCGAAAAAAGCGTACTATTATTCTGAGAATCATTGTAATATAATTAGCCAGACAGAAGTATTTCATGTTCAAAGAAATACACGATAACTGAATTGTATAGTAATTATTGTATAAGAAAAAAAAATATTTGGATAAATGTTGACCTTTCGAATTTCATTAAATGTATATTTTTTACTTCGACAGAAGTCAAAATCAATCCAAAGATGAAAGAGTATTTACAGTTTATGGCTAAGGGCCAGCAAGGAAATCAAAGCTAAAATTTTGAGAGCATATATCTTCTCTGTAGCAACATATTAATGTGAGTCATGGACTATCTCCCAGTCCATAAAAAAAATAGGGGCTTTTGAGCTGGAAAGAATCTCAGAATACTATGGACAAAAAAGAAAAGAAACATTTGTAATTTTAAGAGATCTGAACATCAAGGAAGATTGGCTAGTGAACAGCATCTTGTCTCGGATGCTGAAATATTTTGGTCATATCAAGCGACAAGGTGTATTGCAAGAAAAATAATAGCAGAAGGGATGGTACCAGGAAGGAATGGCTGGGGCCGATCAGCAAGAAGATGGGTGCGGGATATAAAGAAGTACTTGAAATAGAAAGATCAGGAGTCGGGAGAGCTGGAGAGAGACCAAGTTTCTTTCAGGCAGTCCGTGATAAGTGTGACGTTCTGCAAACGCCCTACTACATGGCGATGACGACATTTTCTACATGTATAATTGTATGCTTATATACTTGATGAAAAATTTTAAAAAATTATGACCGCCTATGTATAAACTTGGGGTCTTGGCAAAGTGGTCAAGCCGTTTGCCTCATGCTTTCAAGGTCATGGGTTCGTTCGTTATACACTTCTGCTCCATTCAGTTCACTAGGACAGTCTTTTACGGTGATCCCTGTGGATCGTCAGCCTGAGTTTTTTGCGACGCTCTCGACAGTCGGCTAGCCTTTCTGCCAAGAGATGCCTATAGACATTAACTGTAACTTAAATAGTGCGAAAATGGTGACTTTATCTATGAGACTGGACAAGGTTACTGTGTCAAACCTGTTTCTGTAATCGCAATATGCATTTCGCGTGGCATTGATGACATCGCTACCTATCGCTACTGACCAACTGCCTCAGAAGTTTTAATTCTGCCATTGTCTGACAGATAATCTGCACACTCATTGCTCGAACATCTGCATGATCCAGCACATAAATGAAGGTTAGACTAGCAGTTTACGGTGCGATGAGACAAACAGTTTTTCTCTAAAGAAGCCGACCTAGAGAGGAGTGTGTGCGATTGAGTTGAGAACCTCCTCGCTTGTTCCATTTAAGTGAATAAATTGTAAGAAAAACGAAGAAAGAAAGGACATGAGAAAAACAACAAAATTGTGACTGCATCTTTATATAGATTACAGAAAGCATATTTTAAGAAAGGGAAAATACCTCAGAATTTGGAGCCAAAGCCTGGTATCAGTGAGACGAAAAACAGGAACTGATGGAAAGAGGGCCAGCGGGTGGGGTGGGGGTATTGGGGGGTGGGAACCGAATACCCTAATGGCTTCGCCACATGAAAAGGGCGGGACAAGAGTACTGATTGATTCTTGATACTCAAGATCGTACACCTGTGGTTTAAACCACAAAACGCATTGCCAGTTGACTGGTACAGATTGTGTTAGGACCTAATACTTAACATATCTAGGGGGGGGGGAACTATTATACGACTACCCGTAAACAAATAAATGCAAATGATCTCTCTTATAAACCACACTCAAATGTTTCCACAGTGGTGTAGGAGTGGAAGATGCGCGGATAAAGAAGAATTAAATACAACAACATCAATGACAGTCAGCATAGCGCCAATAGCAGCTTCAACTGTAGTACAGCCATCCTCAACAACAGCAGCTACTACTGTATTACAGCAACCCTCAACAACAGCAGCTACCACTGTTTTACAGCCATTCCTAACAACAGCAGATACAACTGTATTACAGCAACCCTCAACAACAGCAGCTACCACTGTAATACATCCATCCTCAACAACAGCAGCTACCACTGTAATACATCCATCCTCAACAACAGCAGCTACCACTGTAATACATCCATCCTCAACAACAGCAGATACAACTGTATTACAGCAACCCTCAACAACAGCTGCTACCACTGTAATACATCCATCCTCAACAACAGCTGCTACTACTGTAGTACGGTTATCCTCGACAACAGCAGCTACTACTGTAATACATCCATCCTCAACAAGAGCACCTACACCTATAGTACGGTTATCCTCAACAACACCAGCAGCTGCCACTGTAATACATCCAACATCAACAAGAGCACCTACACATGTAGTACGGTTATCCTCAACACCAGCAGACGCAACACCATCACGACTAGCCACGAGCAGCTCCTCACTGGATGCCAATAAAGTGACAACTACTACCCCCACGACAAGGCTATCTACAACCTTAACAGTAAACTCACGACTAAGCACTCTTGCGTCTTCTGCAACTACTATAGTATCTGCGTCATTTGTTCTTCGCCTTTTCTTTCTTTCTGTAATGTAAGGTGTTTTTGATCCTAGCTTCTTCAGCATTCCGAGCCTGTGAGGTTCATTGCAGCACACATCACCTGTCTAAGAGATGGATCGATCAGTTTGTCGACGCTGGGCTGCTACCTAAAGTTTTACCACACCATCCTAAGAGCAACGAAATCCAGACGGCAGACTAACAAGGCAGATCGCAGATATATCGTTTAATCTCCAAGTAAGTTATATTCAGGGTACCTGGCTACACCAACCAGGTATAACATGCAGTCCTATGCAAGTAAGGGCGATTTATCTCTTGTGATTGGTCATCTTGTTTCAATTATTGACACCCAGTACTCTTTTCCCTGCCGTCTATTTGGTCAGAACAGACGAAGCCTTGTTATAAATGTTGGAGAATAGAGCCTTACAATGAAATTTTGAACATATCAAAGTAGCAAGCAGCGAAGAGAATGGTGAGTTCAAAGCAACAATGACATTCATAAACTGTTTAAATTACTACTAATTACTATCATAGCGAGGGCTAATAGACAGACTGTAATGGTTAGGGTATATAGAGAGAACAAAAACTGCAGACAAAAACTGCCTACAAAAATGTGTTGAATGGGATCTGATGACGAGGCAGACCAAGCGGAATTTATAGAAATAATATTCATGCAGACCTACATACACTTAGAGAAAGCAGCTGGAAAAAGAAGATGAATAGAACACTCGATATCTGTAGCAATGAACCTCACGGGCTTGAAATGCTGAAAAAGTTTTCTTTGCCTGCTTTGTAGTCTACACATATTACACTCTTTTGTGTAGGCAGTTTATGTGTTTCTGTTCTCTGACATTCTCCATGTCAGGCCAATACTAAGTAATTTAACTCTAAATGAAATGGATAAATGTTGCCAAGTTTTAGAGACAGGATTGATCTAAAAGAGAGGGCAACAAAAAAGTGTCCAGCTTCAGCTTTACTGAATAAATCACTCAATAGGGAGGACGTTGTGGTGTTAGCCTTCATCGGCAAACTCAGCATCAAAGTACAAGCAAGACTGTAACATAATTTTGATATAACATCACAACATTGTGTGGACATTTTGTTAGTTCTATCACGGAATCAGTGTAAAGCTGTGGAGAATCTAATCTTGTGTTTGAATACAATTGCTAAATCAAGCAAGGGCTTAGTGCTTATCGCATGCGTTAAATGTACATGTTTCCTGTAAAAATGTATCTTCTTCTTCTTTCCTCAACTCATGGAATGCCTCGCAGCATCAGATGTGGAAGAGGTTTCTAGAACGGGCCCTTTTGTTCGGTTTGCATAAAGTACGGTTCAGTATTATTGATATTACTTAGGTCCATATCTGCGTGGTCGATCTCTGGGTCTCTTACCATTGTATCTGTATAACATTGCACTCTGTGGTGGCCTGTCTGATGCCAATCCACAAACAGCACTTACCCGCAGTGTACTACATGTTCTTTCGTAGCCGGTTTGTTGTGTCCCAATATAACTGTCGGCGTCTGTGGCCTAATAGTTGCGAACGCGCTTCGTAATGCCGGCGTGCCGGGTTCGATCAAAGCTGCGGACGATTTGGCTGCAGAACGTCTAGCGTTGGTTCCGATATTGGTACTGTACTAGAAGCGCAAAGCCCTAAGTACCAAGATAAAAATAAAGAACAAGAGTTCGTTAGGCAGGGACTAGAAACAGAAATATTCTAGCCCAGACAAAAAATCTTCTGTGTACAGTTTTGATCAGCCAAGCAACAAATAAACTGGGCACACTAACCACAAGTCTTAATCTAAACCAAAAACAACTGGAACTATGATTACCACATTGAACATCTGTTTATTTCAGATGGTCAGAAGAGCAAGTAGCAAAGGCTTATATCTTCGTTGACACCCGCAGCGGTTAAAGAGAAAGTAAAGAAGAAGAGGAAGAAAGCTAGTACAGTCGCCACAGATTGTGCAGATTCGGATTTCAGTCTCTCTCTCTACCCCCCCCCCCCACCCCTTTTTTCCCCCCACCCGACATACGAAAATCCTTGATCTTACTTAAAATCCGAATCTATATCTCCCGT